TGGGCACCTACGGTCATATTTTTTCACTGTACTGGTAAAGTTACTTATTTTTGCTGCATAGTTTGACTGTTGTTTGAAAGACAATCAAACGGATATTACAATCACTTTTGGAGACAAAATAAAATATCCGTAAATCAAATGCCAAAATCAGATCTGGATTTCGCTTTAAAAAAAATGAACATGCTGCAGGTGTCAATGCAAAGTTGTAAACAACTCAATATAAGCAATCTGTGAATGTGCGTTTAGGTCCACAAAACTAATTTTTCTTTTGGACATCTCATCCAAGCAAAGACTTGAGGCTTACATTGCTTGTCTACGAGTGTACTACAAAATGCTTTGCTACAGTAAGCCTCTGAGGGGCGATTCTGGTAAATTTATAGGACGCTAAAATGTAGAAAATTCTAAGCTTAGACAACCTGGCTGGGTTGGACTTTTGAATCACAAAATGTTCACGTTTGCCGGCTCTACTTTAAATGAACATGGTTTTTGAAATGATTTTGCACTATTTTAACCCGAAAATTATGATTGGGTTATAAAGCTTTTAAAACGGACGAAAACTAAGCTAATAAACATGTTCAATGTAAAAAACTAAGATTTAGTCGCTTTTTCAACTTTGCTTTGTGGGCCGAAAAATTTACCTTTACGCAAAAACAAAAGCAAACAATGAGGCTTTTATTCGACATATTTTCTGAGAATTTTATCTGATCAATTTAATGTCACTAGCATTGTTTTCGTATAGGAATTTTCCTAATTATATGAGCTTTAAATTTAATAATTTTGATACTTTATAAACTTCTCATTTGATAGCTTCACTTTTTTATACACCGATTGAGAAACAAATTCGCTTTCGTTAAATCCTATTTTATGACCTATTTATTGGAATTCTAAGTAACATGTGAAATGATGTAACTGAACAGGCTTTAACCTTTGGTCCTAATGTATTTTTTCTTCGCAACCCCTAATCAGTTGAGGGCCATGAGAGAATATCGCCACAAAAAGATGCGAAAAAGTTTTCGCTGAGTTCCCTTTACATATTCCGGCTTTATATGGGTCTACACCTTACTTGCTTAAAAATGAAACTGTTGTTCAAGTGTCATTCAAACTCGGGATAATCTTGACTTGCAAACCCAAATGCAAAGGTTTATTTCGCAGTAGAAGAGCGTGTAGACATCATCGAACAATCGCAATGTAAATTCGCTAATGTGAAACCCCGTTTCTTTCACTTTATTTACCATGTATTTATCTCAATTGCACACTCTTGTGAAATTAGCCACAGACAATTAGTTGCGACCTTTAACAGACTCAACAAGCCAGTATATTTCTTTTTTTCATATTGCCCTTGCATGTGTTAACATTCCATTTCTTTTTTGTTACAGGTAACTTCCAGACATGACGAGGAGATAATTACTTTTCTAGAGAGAAATTATTTGATACTGTCAGTTATTACTGACTTACTTTAAGTTAAAAACAAAGAACACAGACACTGCTAATGACACAAAAACATTAATCCCTGGCAAGCCTACAAACAAGAAAGAGGAACTCAGACTCCTTATCAAAATGTGAAACAAGATAAAAACAGCTTTTCTAACGTAGAGAAAATTGCGTTAGAGAGATTTGTAATTGCAACGTTATATTCAGGCACAATGTATTGTCAAACATAATTTACTGAATAATGAACAGTGATTTTGGGGCTTAGTTCAGTTTGTAATGAAGTTTGAAAGATATTCTATAACCTTGTATTTTTAAAAGCTTTCATGGAACATAGATGCATTTTATTATACAATGAAAATAGTCTCTCTCTCTCTTTTTACTGATTTCAGTCAATTCCATTTTATTCGCAATGTGAAATGGGAATCCTATTAAAGACTCATTAAAAGGGGTGAGGAGTTTTTACAATCCCTCAACAGGTCATCTCCACGATGACGCTGTTTTATTACTACGGCAGAATCCCTCAGGGTTTTACTTTCTTGTGAAAACTAGAGCTTTTGTTATTTAAACTTCGCTGGGACAACCAAATCTATGAAAATGAAAGGAATAGCAATGACGTCATCGTGTAACCGTACATCAAAAGATAAGCACAGCGATCTGTTTAGTTTTTTTTTTTTAAGTCAGGCTTAAAATATCTGTAGATTCAAGGAATTATAACCTGTACGTTGAGAGCATGCCAGAGACCGATTTTGGCATGCCCGGCATGACCCAGATTATGGCACGCCCGGCATGCCAGAGAATTTGGCATGCCGGGCATGTCAGAAAATTTGGCATGCCCGGCATGCCGGAGATTTTGCTGGGTATGAATTACTTATTACTAGAACCTAGGCTTCTCGCGGCCTGGGTGAGAAGGTCACGGAACCTCAAATTATGCTTACAAGGCATGCGCAATTCTGTTGCATGCCAATTTCAATGCAGAACCACTCTGGGGCCACCCCCTCTATTACCAGTGAGCAAATCATTGACGATAGGCATGGGAAAAATCCTTGCATGCTAATCAACATTGAAAACGTAGCAGAAATGTCCTCAGTTGCTGAGTCATGCCCTAGGGGACGCTTTAAAATACAGAATTTCCTGAAATGGATGAGGGAATTTTCCGTAAACAGCATGTGATCATGCCGGCTAGGACGTATTGCCTCCGTATATCCCATTTTTACAGTTAGCTAGGCTCATTTTTAGGTTCCATGGCCTGAAATGACGAAAAATTCAAGCCCTAAATGTAAAAAGTCCAAAAACGTCCTCGAAATTTTAGTTTCCAAGCCGTTTTGTGTACTGCTTACTATCAAACTAAGGCTTTTGTGGTCAATTAACATTTATGAACGTTAAGAATATTATATTTTATGTAAAGTTGTCTTTTTTTTCCCGTTATTTACTTGATAATGTAACTAGTGTAATTAGTGTAATTGTAATTAGAGGCTACTACTGTTGTTTATTAGTTAATTGCATTGTGCTGTTTGTGAAGTTGTTAATAAAGAATCAATAATAATAATAAAAAAACCCCTGGTCATCAGCGGGACAGAAAAATGTCAGAAAACAGCATTTCTGTTTGCAAAACTTTGTTGCTTTCATTAACGTTAATATGATATCACTTAACTGTTAACTCTTCATTTATCAGTTAACTACTAACTACTAATTTTTGGCCAAATATCAGTTAACTGTTAACCCCATTCGCACCCTCTTCTACTGCATCGCGAATAACATACAGAAAACGACATCACATAATTTCAGTGTGACGTTACGTTCATAATTTCATGTAACGTATCAGTATCATTCATGCTTTTTTAATGAGTTTTAATGAGATTTGAAAAAGTGGTAAATTTTGTCATTAACAATATCGGTGTTATTATTATTTTTTATCGTTAGCGTGTAATATATCAGCAGATGTTGCATTTATTGTGGATTCATCAGGAAGTATCGGTCGTAGAAGATGGCCTCTGGTGTTGGACTTCTTAAAAAGTCATTAACGAGTTTAATATTGGACCCGATGGCACACATGTGGCGGTAGTTGCCTACAGTACGAACCCGAAGCTCGAGTTCCTTTCAATGCCGTATCTGGAGACGAAATTACTGCAGAGGAATATGGGAAACGTATCGACAGGATAAGACTCCAGAGAGGCTATACGTACATCGATAAGGCTTTGAAACTGGCTAATGAACAAGTGTTTGTCACAAGTGCTGGGATGAGATCCGATGTACCGAAGGTATGATTGCAAAACGTCCCTTGAAAAAGCCTCAGAAAAGCTTGTTCATTTGCGTGTGACAAAGTGTGGGTTTGTTTTGTTTCGCTAAATTATGTAAAGAGAACATGTCGTTTTTTGTTTGATTCGGAGGACACCGACGTTCTTGTGAGCTTGATGGGAGGCTTAGAGTAGGCACTGTACATGCTTGTGGTGCAATGGGATGTTAACAAACGCGTTTGGTTTTTTTCTTGTGCTACATGCAGATCGCTCTTGTAATCACCGATGGCAAACAAACAACCACCAGGGGATTTACACCATTGGACGAAGCATCCAAAGACATGAAAGACAAAGGAGTTGTGGTGTGCTCTTTAGGTGTGGGGAGTGGCGTCAACTCTGAACAACTACGGCAGATTGCTAGTTCTGATGACAACGTGTTTACGTCTACTGGCTTTGAGGAACTCACTGATGTAGTGAAGCCTATTGTAGAGAAATCTTGTTCGATCAAACCAACACCAACGCCTACTTCGAGTGAGAAATAAGACCCTGTTCGATTTTAATAATAATAATAATAATAATAATAATAATAATAATAATGATAATAATAATGATAGACACTTATATAGCCCAGTATCCACTAATTGTTCAAAGTGCTGTGGTAAGAAACTAGAGTTAAAAACTATTATAAGATAAAATAAAATTAAATAAAGCTACTAAAGTCAAACATCGTAGGCTAATTCAAATGAGTATGTCTTCAACTGCGTCCTGAACTGGTCGGCAGATGTAACACCCCTGAGTTCGGGAGGCAATTGGTTCCATAACCCAGGGGTAGCTACGGAAAAGGCCCAGTCACCATACGTCTTTAACCTAGTCCTAGGCACGGCTAGAAAATTCTGCTATTCTGGGAACTAGAACGAAGTAATCGTGGACCATTAGTGTAGCTGTGAAACTAGAACTTGCCGACTAGTAACAGCGGAGCTCAGACTAAACTTTAGCGTAGACAAAAAAGAGCCAATACCGCTTTTAGCACGACAAATTAGTGAATTTACGCAACAAGACGGCAGAAAGAAGAAGACGGCAAAACGCTAGTATGCGTTAAACTTGACAGGTCTATTACTTACGTGTTTTGTGGTGATCTTCTGCTTAAGTTAATGTTTTCTGGTCTTTTGCAAAAAGACCTGTTTACGGGAAGGGAAAGTTCGGCGGAAAAGTTTTTTGAACAAAATTATTTTCACGCTTGTTGCAAAAGCTTTGCCTTCTTCTTTCCTCTCCCGTACTGTTGCGTCAGCTCACTCTTAGTGAACTTAATTACGCAACTGGACGGGAGAGGAAAGAAGACGGCAAACAAGCGTGACAATAATTTTGTTTGAAACAACTTTTCGCCAAACTTCACTCTCCTTTAAAAGGATTTTTTTTTTAAAGACTAGTAAACGTTAATGTTAGGTGAATATCACGACAAAACACGTACGTAATAGTCCTGTCACTTTTGTCACGCACAAGCGTCTTAGCGTCCTCTTCTTCCTGCCATCCTGTTGCGTAAACTGACATTTATCCCGCGCGGACGTCAGTCCAAAAGCACGCGAAATACTAAGACCAGAAGTTCAACTTCACTTGCATAGCAACCACGTAGCCTGGCAACACGATACGACAAGGGGCCCTAAGGCATGCAAGTTTCTTGATTGGAGTATTGAGACCAACGTTTTCTCAGTAGGATTCCTGTTGAAAGTACGTCAACAAATATATATTTGTCATAGTTTATAACAATTTGAACCAGGAGATCATGGTCTCAGTTGTTTGAGCTCAAACATTGTTGCAAATATAAATAATCAAAACAACTGTTAAGCTAACTTAAAGTGTGAAAACTAACTTTACAGGTAAAGGAAGAAAGAAATTCTTATAAGTAACTTCTACTTGCTGATTTTTAGACGAGTGTGAAACAGGACTACATAACTGCCACGATGATGCATACTGCACCAACACCAAGCGTTCCTTCACGTGTACTTGCAAACCAGGATATTCTGGGGATGGTGTCAACTGTGCAGGTAACAAAGCTACATACGCAGCGTGAACTTACAGGATCTAAACTTTAGTTGTACATAATCGCAGCAGAAATAAGAAATAAGCCAATAAGAAAGCTGCAAACTGGTTTCGTATTTATGTAAGTGACATGTTGTTATATTTAGTAGCATAAAACAAAATATACAAAATAACTGCTCCTTGCCATTGACAGAATTTGTTTTGGAAAAATTGATTCAAGGGTAGAACATTTCAGGGTTACCGTTCGAATGCATTGCACTACTATCCCTCATTCGATAGGAATAAAAATCCAACTTGGTCAGTCTGATAATTTAGCCTTATTTATTTCCAGACGTAGACGAGTGTAATACAGAAAAACACCAATGTGATGAAGCTATTTCATTGTGCGTTAACACTAAAGGATCCTTCGAGTGTTACTGTCAAAAAGGGTATTTTAAAAGTGGACAACATAAATGTACAGGTAACATCCACTTTAAGATCTCTTAATTGAAACATTCAGATGCTTCGTTGTCACGTCTTTTGTTTATGTTACGTTAGCGTCCTTACAATTTTCTATTTTAAGCTTTCTTGGCGCTTTAAGTTAACACGGGTTTTCTTTGAGCGACGCACGCCAACTGGAGGTACTGACCCGTATTCCTTTTAATATACATAAAAACTACCAAATTTGTATTACGGAAACTACCGAACAAGAATTAAGATAGACAACAACTGGTTGACGTGCGTTGCCCAGGGTGCGTTGCCCAATGCCTTTGCTTATAAACTCCCTATATCATAATTAGCCTCCCACGCAGACGTTATTAGGTGAGTCATATATATAGTTCCTCCCCACAAGAGGAAGGAAGGAATGCGACTCTTCTAAAAATGCCTGTGTGGGAGGCTAATTTTTTATATTAAGTACCAGATGTTACCTGGAACTAGCGATGACTTTAGTCTACTTAGCAGGGGCTTGAACCTAATCCAGAAAGTAGGATGGGCGAAAGGAAGGTCGGAGCGCGCGAGAGAGACACGCAGGAAGAGAGGTAGCGCCTGCCTGAGAGGTCAATGAAAATCATACCAAAAAAAACACAACAAAACAAAACAACCTCTTTTGCATTATGATTTCCTCTGATTTCCTCCTTTGAAACCGTTTTCACTAAAGTCCAATTAATTTTAAGTCGCGTCAATTTCCAACAACGTAATATCATAAAGCGTTAATTTCCTATAATGAGGCAGATATCATGGTAGGCCAAAGTTACTTGGAATAAAAGAAAAGAAAACTAAATCAGTTTTTTGATTCAGCGCCTGACTTTTGAATTGCAGAAGAAAATGAGTGTGAAACAGGAAAGCACAACTGTCATGCAAACGCCAGTTGCAAAAACACTAAAGGATCCTTTGTGTGCACCTGCAAGCCAGGGTATTCTGGGGATGGAGTTAACTGCACAGGTGAAAACAATACCTCGGTCTTCTTTATAATGAATATTTTTCTAATCAGCTCCATTTATCTCGCATTAAAGCCAGAAGTTCAGCCGCAAGGTTGTATGCAGCTTAGTCTCTAGAGCTGCAGTTTGTTCTTTTAAGTTGGATAATAGCATCTACGAACAACTAGTTACCAGTTTTTGGTACCGAAGGTACCCGTCTTGAGGAGAAATAGAGCCACCAACTCCAGTAATTCAACCGATCCAATTTCAGCTGCAACGAAAGCCCAAGTATTAAGTAATTTATCTAAGCTTGTAAGATTTGCCATCACATTCGTAAAGAAAGTTTGCCACTGGGGATAATGAAAAGTATAAGACGATTGTCATATTTTCTTGATCTTTATCCCCAAGCGGCAAACTTCCAGTGCAAATGTGGTGTCAATTCTAAACAGCTTGAATAAATTACCAAGTACAATATGGCTTTCAGTGCAGCTGAAAAATGGACGGTTAGAAGTACTGGAGTTGTTGGCTTTATTTCTCCTCAAAACGGAAACCTGCGACGCTAAAAACTGTGTTTTCGTAGATGCTATATTTTGCCTGGTTAAGATAAGTTTCGAAAAGAGAGGGTCAAATACAAAGTAAGTTTGATGAATGGAAGTTCTGTAATCTTGCCCGCGTTCAGCATAAACTTGTTCTTCTTGCATTGCGAACTGTATTCGCCGTAGGTTTCTGGTTACTCAGTCAGTTCTTGCAGCTAAACTTTTGGGGAAAAATATCATTGCAGATAGGAGATAGGAGTCGGTCGGCAGCTTTCCTCTATTTGAGCGTCAACTTTCACAAATGTGTTAGCGTTAAATTTTAAGACTAAATTTGACCAGGTATTTGTGCAGTGAGTTCTACGGTCACGATTGACTTCAAAATTGCAGATATAAAACTAAAGAGCTCTGAGGCTTATTTGCTAAAGTTAGAGAAAAATGCGGTTTTAAACGCATGTGGATGTCTCAAAGGTTTTTATACCTACAAGAAAATAAATAACAAGTTCTTAAAGTTCGACTATTCTTTATTAAGGATGCCAAAAATCATAGAAATCAGTTAAATCTTTCCTTCCGAAACACACGATTCAAAACATAACCAACACGCATATAAATGGGTTCGGGCCACCTTAATAGCGGTCCCGGGACAGTAGTTCTAAGCATACATTGAGACTAAATACATAAGATAAGAAATAGGTGAAAAACGGCGCTAACCGTACAAAAAAAATAAGAAAAAATTATAAAATTCAAAAAACTGGCAGAGGTGAGCTGCCAACAGAAATAAATGCGGTCAGACAGAGGCCAGAAAAGAAAACATGCCCAAAAATCCACGAAGGGAAAAAGTGCGGGCGGGAAATCTGGAAAAGAACCAAGCCTCAAGCTAAAAGACGTTTCTACGGGACTACAAGTTAATCGAAATAGGCCGCTCCTAAAATAAACAAAAACATTAAGAAAACAAAAGAAGGTTGTTTCAGAAGCCGAGATGACGTACACGCGATATATATACGTAGCCTTTTATACTCCCGGTATGGAAAAGGCAAGACAAGAAAAGAACTTTATTTATACCACACAGAAAAAGACATTTATTTAGCAAAAGAGAATACTACTTATGTAAGGTACAAGTGTCCTATAGCTAAAAAGCTTATCTAGCTAGGAGACATTATAGATTAATTAAGAATGTTTAAGAGGTTCCTTCATGGAGGCACAAGAAGAAAACAATGTAAAAAACAAACAAACAAATAAACAAAGAAAAGAAAAGAAAAAAACGGATATGTGCAGAATTGAATCACTGAAAAATTGAGGAACTGGAGAAAATATTGGAAAAGAAAGAACTTAATATGAACTAGCTATAGCCCCTGGCCTAACACCCAGGTTCTGTGGTATTTCGTGCCGTCAAAATAGTTATTTCTTATTCTTAGCGGGATCATTCGTCGTAAATAACATAACTTGGCACATTTAAAACTTTGAATAATCATTTGTCACTGATTTTATCTCCCATTTTACTGTTGTTATAGGTGCCATCAACTGAATTAGTGTTCCTTGCAATTGCCTTATTTTAAAAACTGATTTATTTATTCGTAGACTACCAGTCTCGAAAGCATTGCATTGCTATCTCTCATTCAATAGATATAAATCTAAAATAGAACCGATTCAGTTAGATAATTCAGCATTAAATCTTGATTTCCAGACATAAACGAGTGTAACACAGGAAAACACAACTGTGACGTTACTAGTTCAGTGTGCCACAACACTATAGGATCCTTCGGATGCGCTTGCTGGGAAGGTTATACTAAAAATGGAGAAGATAAATGTACAGGTAACACTTCAAATCCCTTAATTGAAACACTCAGATATTTCGTAACCACGTCTCTTTCAAATCAATTTCTCCTGTTCCAAAGTGGTTTTTCACTAAATCCGCCTTAATTTAAGTCTCGTTATTTTCCATAATACCTTTTACTAGTACTGATCGCAGAGCATTAAGTTCCTTTAATAAGTCAGGTATATTGTAATTCTAATAACCCATTTTCGAGTTTGGCTCGAGCTTCTGTCTTAAAACGAGGCGAAGTGCGAAGCCTTTTGATATGAAAATTAATTTCAAAGGAGAAAGGTTTGAGGATTGACCTCGTTTTGAAATGAAAATTGATCGCATGAAATGGCTATTATGGTAGGCCACAATAATTGCTGTGAAAGAAAAAGGAAACCAGTTTTAACCATTCAGTGTCTGACTTCTTTTTTGCAGATATAAATGAATGTGAAGCAGGAAAGCACAACTGTCATGCAAACGCTAGTTGCAAAAACACTGAAGGATCCTTTATGTGCACCTGCAAGCCAGGGTATTTTTGGAGTGGAGTTAACTGCACAGGTGAAAACAATACCTCGGTCTTCTTTATAATGAGTCTTTTTCTAATCAACTCCACTTATCTCGCATTAGAGCCAAGTTCAGCCACAAGGTAGTATGCAGCTTAGTCTCTGGTAGTGCAGTTTGTTCTTTTAAGCTGAAAAAGTTTGGAAATGCTCATGCATTATAAAAGTTTGTGATTTGCAGTATCTGGATGCAATTTTAGCCTTACACATCCTTGAGATATTTAAGTTGTGTTATGTATTATTATATTGTGCCCATGCAAGATTGTCATGTCCGAACACGCATTCACGCTGGGTGAGCTTACTACATTTAATTATATCAGACCAATGTACACAATTCCGTCTTTAGAGTATGAGCGGAAACGTGCCCTTTTTATCCCTCATTCTGTTGGCCATTTTTCTTTAGAGAGGAAGTCATTCTGTATTCTCTAATATCTTGCTTCTTTAGGTCTCGCGAATCCTCTATCTATACATTTGATGTCATTTCTGAATTTCTCACCTGCTCAATATATAGCAAAAATGTTTTTGCTTTTCAGTATAGCCAGGAATCTCTCTCTCCCTCTCTCTTCTGATCAAACCCAATCCTAGAAAATAAAAGGTTAAGTAAATCAGTTTTGATGATTCAGTCCTGCACCTGATTTGCAGACGTAAACGAGTGTATAACAGGAGAACACAACTGTGATGCTAATGAAAAAGACTGCAATAACACTGAAGGATCTTTCGCGTGCACTTGCAAGCCAGGGTATTCTGGGAACGGAGTTAACTGCACAGGTGATTATATTTCAGTAAAGACCTGGATCGTCTTAATGTTAAGGCTATTAATTCAGTATTATATTGTCTCGAGTTCACGCGTTGGAGTCCCTGAGTAGAATCCAAAAGAGACATTTCCAAATGTACAAATAAGAATTTGAAGTCTATCCTTTGATCGACAAAGTGATCGTTGTCATAATTATTTAGCAATTACTCAAAATGAGGCTGAGTGGGCTGCATGTGAAGAATTATGTAGAGCAAAGAGGATGTTATCCTCAATCATGCGGTGACTCAATCCAACTTGATCGAAGTTTAGTACATCTGATCAATCCACTGAAAGCATTACTTCTCCCAGTAAAGATAGATCATAGATAATAAAATAACCAAATCGCAGCCGGCTGAAAGCTGAATTGTTCAATTATTTACAGTACAATAAAAAGTATAAAAT